CGCACATATGTCCCCAATATTTTGACTAACAATACCAAGTCCACTTGTTTGACGATAAGTAATATCCATATGTCGAGCCACAACATGTGAGTTGTTCTGTTTACGATAGATCGCACCACCAGCTGCTGTGTGGCCCGGTCGTTTAAATTGTAAGCAGCAATCGAAGTCAGGTATCGAAACACGTTTGTCATTGTCTAACCACGTCTCCGCCTAAAGGACTTAGCTTCTTTTCTGATTTTAAAGTGAGAAAACGAAAACAAAGATCCCACGGCCTAGACCGCAGGGAGTGGGGGAAGGAGGAGGAGCCTCTCGCGAATGAAGGAGAAAAAACAGAACTTCACTGAATAGCGCACTTCCCCAACTTCCTGTTACGCATTTCCGTCCCTTTTCATGAAATCACTCCCACAAATCTCCAACAATTGAGAGGAAAGATGTTACACATCAAAAATACTAACTTGTAACTTCAAATTTCATTAATTGATTTGAAAAATATTATTTACGTTTTCTAAAACTGAATTAAATGTATTTTTAAGAAGATGTGTCGTGCAATCATGGTATGCAAACAAGCCATGATTGCACGGCACATCATCTTAATAAAATAGACATCCATCCATCTAGCATATGGTAAATTTGGAATCCAGGAATCATGAATGCAGAGCATCTTACATGCCCTGAACTAGATTAGGAGTCTCAAAAACGTGGCGAGATCAGCAAACTATACTGGAATGCCAGAACATTCATGAACTCTTTGTAAGGACATCTCTCACGCTCCTTTTCTTGTTGCTTAAATTATTTATTTTTTCTTTTGTTCCCATTTTAATGTGCCCTGATCCTTTAAATATTTGTTCCTTTTTATTGCTCTTGTGTTACACTTGAGCTGTTTTATATATTTGGATTGATTCTTCGAATAAAGCAATGTTTAACAACAGCACACATTTTTTTTAAAAAAATTCTCACCTGCGTTTCTATGAACTTCATATACTGAAGTACTTTCCGTTGCACAGGGTGATTATAATAGAAGTCCTATTTTCAAAATGCTATAAAAAAGACCCACTGCTTAGAAGTTCTAATTCGAACTGAATATACTTGAAGAAAGACAAAATGGGATGACTTAAGAAAATCAAAACTAATTAAACAATGAAAACTTTGAAACTAATGAAATTAAACTGATTATTTAAATATCTGTGGTGGGTTTTAGTTTGCCCGTTATTCATTGATAGGATCATAAAGGGAGGTTCCTAATTCTACAAAGACGGTTGTAACATGCCTATATATATGTGTATGTTCTCTGATTCTTTTAGGCCTTCCTGTAACGGGTTAGGACAGCGTTTTTCAAACTGTGGGGTGCGCCCCCTATGGGGTCAGCCCCCCGGGTATTTTGTGTTATTTTTGCGCAACGTTCATTTAGAAATCGCTATGAGAAAGAAGAACCAATCAACAAGAGTATTCTCAATGAAATTATCAATTTTAGGAAACAGGAAACCCGTGGTAAAAGAAAAGCAGTGGCCTGCCAAGCGCCTCGGAAGAAGCAGTGAAGAGGATGAGCAGTTTTGTCTGAAGTAGATGGAAATCTACGAGAGTTGACACATGTGAACTTGGAGTGCCCCAGAAAACAGTATGGAACATTTAAAGAAAAAAAATTAAATTTTAAATCGTATCATTCACAATTCACAACAAATAACAGACTATAAGTAATCATTTATGCAGCATTACGAACCATTAGTAGAGTAATGCTAGAAAATGCATGGAACGAGATTGATTATAGATTGGAAGTATGGCGCGTAACAAAAGGGTCACACATCAAACATTTAAAAGAAAACAAAACTTGGTACATTTATCTTTACATTCATCTATCTCTTATTCTAATATGTCAGGTAGTTCCGATAATAATATGATTTTTTTTAAAATCAGGTCCGTCATTTATACTCACCCTACATTATATCCATAGTAATATGCTAATGTTATCATTTGGAAATTGCTATGGTAAAAACAATTTTTGAAAAAAGATTATCTCCAAGTTCCGACAAACAAAATAATATTAAATTTGAGACTTTTTCATTGATATGAAGCAACGGAAAATGGAAACAATGTATAAAACAAGTGACCATGCATGAAATAAAGACTAAATTAAATTTGTAAAAGAGAGGTTTGGTTTTATAAATATAGAAAAAGGCCGTTATAGTTAAAAAAATATGATGATTTTTACTTTCAAAAATATATACTAGATGATTTTTATTATAATATACAATTAGTTGAGCTATCACAATTGTCCGTTATTTTTAAATTTTAACAATGCTAAATCTAATAGCAAAATATTGTGTGCTATGCATATCAAATATGGTATAATGTTATATTTACATGTGGAGAAGCTAAATTCAATTTTCTCATTTGATTTAAATTTACTATATACGTATCTAACAATTTCTCATGCATTTTAATAAAGAATAGAATTGATTTTTCTTAGTAAATGTAAGAATAAATACCAAAACTACTATTCTTGTGATGTTTCCCGCCACACAGCTGTGAATCGGCTTATTTTGTGGATATGATCACCATTGGTCATCGCCCAGGCAACCTTTGACACCACGAGAAACCCCTTACTCTGCCCACGAACCGGATGCAACTCGAGGATACAAATGCGAGCACAATGATCCCAAAAAAACCTAGAGAGGACAAAGAAAGAGACAGTTGAAAACTTTCGTATAATCAAGACGTACGTCCTCCCTCACAAACAACAGAGCTTGGACTCTAATAATTCTAAGAAAAAGTTTAATAACTTCAAAGTGTATATACAATAATTAATAGATGCGACGTAAATAAACTAAATATTTAAATTAATAAATATCACCCTACTTTTATTTATATCAAACGTCACAGTCTCTGGATTTTCAAAATTGACATTAGCTGCAGTTACTCATTTTTTTCTTACAAATTGAATAGGAGATTTTTATTCAAAATGAGATAATATTTGGGTCACATATATACAATACGTTTTTTTTTCTGTCTATTATTTTTTTAAAATAAAACATATTTTGTAGTTTATTATATCTTATTTTATTACATTGTTCGAAAATAAATTAAGTAAATAAAAATGTAAAAATAAATAAATAATAGAGCAGTATTAGTCCTGAATTATACAAAATATTTTCTCTCATACATAACACAATCTGTCTACAAAATAACCCAACATACATCCATATATCATTCAGATAAATGGGAAAACCGACATTTTTATATATAAGTATTTTTCATTTGTGTAGCTGAAGTATGTACTTAATTTATACCCGTATGGTATTAATTTATCATATGAAGACACGAGTAAGAATTCTAGATATACTCGTATATCAATGTCTCTCATGTCGACTTATTTAGAAATATGTTTCTATATAGAATCATTTATTATACAACGCAATAATGCTCTTTCTCGTTTATTCACATCAACTAAAGGAGTATACATTGTCCAATAAACTTTCTTTCAAATCTTTTGATAAGTAACACTAAATTTTATGAATGTGTGTGCTTGTAATTTCCACATATACATATAGAATTTTTAAGTACTGTTTTCCTAAACAGCAAATTATATACTGTTGTGTGATTTGGTTATAATCTATTAATAAAAAGGCATGTTTGTATATATGATCTCGCTTTACTCCAACACCGTTCAACCGATCACTATGAAAATTGGTACGTATATGTATTTTTCTGTGGAGAAGATTTTTGTGCTATCCTTATTGTTGCAGATGTTCATGAACGTTCTGTGATTTCAATGAAAGTTGTTGATTTCCGATCACTGTGAGTAGAAATATTACAGATCGATACTCTACACTCTCGCTAGGCTCCAATCCTGCTTCCTTCGAATTTCAACATAAGTTGTGAGACGCTTAACATCTTTGGGAAACGGAACGCCAAGTGTACCTCCATCCCATATCGAAAGTATTTGAGGCCTTTTAATGAAGATGTTTAGATTTAGAGGGAGCTTCCTGGTTGGTGGACTGGAAGAAGCAAGAGGGTGTGGCTAGGGGGGTGGCTGCTTCGACGACATCCGATGTGGTAGAAATTTTTCCAAGCCAGAACATGCGTTATAAACCGTTTTTCCTTCTTATATGAGACATAACACAGTCAAATAATGAGAACCCCACAGCGTTAGTTTCTTTTTATACAGCAATCGAAAACATTTTCTTATCCCGTGTCTTTTGACTGACCATTCACCCAAAGTGTGGGTTGGGTGATTCACGTTAAATCTGTCGAAGCTCAAACGTCCACCCGTTGGTGGGGTGTGGAATTTAGGAAAAAAGGGTGCCTACTAAGGTGTCATCCTCATCACTAAACCATGGATCAAAATTACGAGGTACGTCTCCAAAAGCCCTCGAGTTGCTGAATAGCTGGACTTTAATATTCCCTCCCTCACTCAGTCGACTGACAAACTGACTATCCCAGTATCTTCTTCCTTTCCTACGAATCCGAAGCTTGTATCATCCTTCCTTCAAGGGATTGTAATGGGACAGCTGTGTATTTCAGGAATAAAGTATTTTAAGAACATTATAAATATACTTATACAATAGCCTTTCAAATATTCAATCTTCTCTCTCTGCAACGTTAAATAAGTATAATTATGAGAACTAAATAATTCTTTGAAAACCAGTTTAAGTTTATGTGTATTCATTAGTAATTACCCACCCCTTTTTTTTTCTACTATTAGTTCACACTCCCTCAATATATACATATATGGAGGGGAGTGTGTGAATATATATATTTATATATATCCATATATATTATGTGTGTGTGTGTGTTGTGTGTGTACTGTTCAAATTTTCGATCATTAATAAAATATTTTTTATTCATCCACTCAAGTTCCAACACATTATTTAAACTTGTAGTTGATGACACTTTATGTTAATGCAGTTTTGGCAAATATTAATTCATTAATTAAATTAAATTTTGCAAAAATAATAAAAAAACAATAGTTTAACACTATATATATAAAGGAAATAGCTCTTTGTGTCCCTGTAGTGGAATGGATAGCACTTTGGACTCCTAATCCAAAGGTTGTGAAATCGAATCTTACCTGGGATTGTCCAATTTCTGAGAATGTGGTTTATGAATGAATGAATAGGAACAAACAAAAAAAGTAATAGTCAAACACTATATAGAGAAATTAAAATCGTTTTCTAATTTGCCACTTAATATTGTGATTAAGTCATATGCATGTACATAATTATATTAATTTTAATGATTTAATAAAAAGTAACTAAAATAAAAAAAAATTATTTGTTGACCTATAAGTAAGAACTGACTTAAAATTTTTTTTTTATATTACTTGTTTGTAAATTACTTTAATTTCCTTGTGATTCTAAATTCTGCATATTTAAGTATAATTTTAATGAAAATATGGAATTTTATGGATTTTTTTTCGGTTGTAAATAAACGTTCAGAAAAAAAAATGTTGAAACTCATTTTTCTGTGTGTGTATATGTATATATATCACAATTCACTTTCCTTTTTAAAAAACATGCAACCACACTTAGCATGCGATTGCTCTTAAATATAATTTCGGGATATTTATTCTGAAACATGTTTTCTTTAAGGTTTATTGAATACATTCAGTACAAAAGGATCATAATTAGGCTCCAGGTTCAGTATCTGAGACATCTTTGTTTTACTTTTGCAATTTTAAATTGCTTTCTAAAGTATAAAAAATAAATGAGACTTTCTTTAACTAGTTCGGAAACCTATCTTTTGAATCACATTCTTAGTCATTTATGGTAAGCATTACTATACAGTCTAAGCATTACAATACCCTTTGAATTCCATTAAATGAACGCATGCAAAATTTAAAGCGAGGTTTTCTTCTAAAACGAATGTCCCCTTTTCTTCCAGGTGATACAATTACAGTCGCGTTTTATTTAAACAGGAAAATCGAGTGTGAAAAATTGTTTTAGTAAGGAAATTTTCCAATTCCTCTCTTTCTCAAATCCCTGCTTTCAATCACACGAGCTTGAAGAAAATTGGCTTTAGGGCTTTGGAAGGGGAAAAAATTTTCCAGAAAATATATATGAGATCCCATTTTTTCCCTTTTTTTAGGAAGCGAAACACTAAAAGAGGAAGAAACTGTTGAAAATAAGGTGAAGAAAGTCCCCGAGCACTTTTCGCAAAGAGGGAGGGTAAAAAATACAATCCCGACCTTAAATAAAGGTGGAAAAGAAACATGAAATAAAGAAAGAAAAACGCGAAACAGTCGTACGAAGCTTTTGGTCCCGTGTGAGGTTTAGATTAGAAATGTCACAATAGAACGTTTGAAAATTCCTGCGCCATTGTACTTCTCGGAGGTACTTGCTTTCTAACTTTCTCAAGTTAAACAACGAAATTGATAAATCGCTTTTACTGCATAAAAAGATATTTGAATTTCTTGTGGAAGCTGCTGAACCAGATTGTTGGTGTTATTTAAAATTTGTATGAATTCTGCCGTTTAAAATGCTCTTGCCAATTTAGGCTCAAAGAATATCCACAATTTTATGTTTTGAAATTAGTTTAAGATTCCTATAAATTAGTAAATATAGTTTTGTTTCTTTAATATTTGATATGACATCACACGTTATATTGGGAAGTTTTTCATCTAATAAATAAAAGTAAATATTTAACAAACAGTATTTAAATGAATTATATACATATTTTTTTAATAAAAACAACCCTTAAGTAATAGCACAGTAACATCTCAGATATATAACATTTTTAGAGCTTGAAATCAATAATATATTTTAAATATAGTTGAACTAATTTAAAGTCATTATCAATAGTGAGTAATAATACCAAAATGCATATGCAAAGTACCATTCTCCTGCAAGTTGGAAACAGCAAAGAACAGGAATAAAAACGCTTAATGTCTGGCCCGACTAAGAATTCCTTTTCATCTCAGTCGTCTAACGCGTGCTAAGAGTTGTCTCCAGAACTGTAGGTTGGAAGTTCAAATCATCCATCCCTAAAGTAGTAGCCAAAGTCTCATGTTTGATTCGTTTTCAACACCTTATGCTGACGTGGTGAACCAGGAATTGAACACTAGATGGAAGCACATTCTATTCATACCGGTTTATTATACACTCCATTGAGAGTCTCAAACTTCGACATTCCCATTATTTTCCACCTAGTGATTGAAAACATCTTTGGCGCATACGTCGAACACACCAGGCATTTCAACAAGAGACTGCCCACAACCACCAATGTTAAAATATTCCATCGACACTCACACCTACTGGTGAGGTTTATCGACTGCAGTAATGATTGAAAAACAACATTCTCTATGTTTATCTTAGAAAGTTCTTTAACAACATAAACAATTTTCTTCTCTGGAAGAGGATATGCATCACCCCTTTCTCCTACAAGTCAAAAACTGCAAAATCAGAAATAAAAGCCCTTAACGACAGGCCCAATTAGATATTCCTTTTCGCACCACTCGCCTAACGCGTGAGTGGCGTAGCTGCAGACTGTAATGTTGATGATTTAAATAAAAACACTCATGTCAAAGGCTGAAAGAGTGATAGTGAATTTATTATTTCACTATTTATGGCTACTTATCACTCCATATTAAAACAATGCTAACCAGCTTTGGAGTCTACAAGTGAAAATTAATTTTGATTGTTATACAACTACAGAAAATACACTTACAATTTCAGGCACATAAACTTGCAATTTTTCATGTTCTTAAGTAATTTTGAATTAACGTCCAGTTTGATTCTGTTTTATTCTACGAAGTTACTTATTTTTTCTGTGAAAAAAAGGAATACTTAAATTTTATATAGAAAAGGATAATAAAAGGACAAACTGCGACATGTGGAATTCCTTTAGATTTCATACAATGATTTTTAATGTAAACGTTTTGGAGACTTAGATGGAAATCTGACTGACTATGACTAGCAGCATCAGACTGCATTTCATAAGCAATATGACATGTAATTCCTCAAGTTATTTCAAGAATAAACATGGGGAGGAAAGCTACAAACTAAAGTTCTTTTTAGTTCTAGCATATGAAATGAAGCAACAATTAATAATAGCATTAAAAATACATTTATTTCCAATATTTATATAATGTATATTTCATTTACATAAGTATAAATAACAATTAAAAATGTTTTTCACTTAATTTTCCTTAAAAGGAGGTAACAAAAAATTTTAATTACAAAAGCGCACCATCAGTTATGTTCTTTAGCCTTTCTTGATGGATTTTAGCGTGTTTATAATCTTTTAATCCCATTACAACTAAATGGTGTATATTCACATATCTTAACCTGCCTGACTCTTAATTGCAAGAACACGTTTTCTTACGAATGAGCATGAGTTCTTAATTAATATATAATTATTTGAGGAAAATACGAGAATTCGTAATCTTGAAATTCTGCCAAGTGACCTCCAAACTTCCACTCCAAACCAACGTGAGCACTTTGACCCAGAACAGATTTAATATACATCAGTCACTCTACATGACGGATCTTCAGCAGCACAGGGATTCAAACTCATTTCCCCGAAGAGCACGAGTTTGTGATCATGGTTGTTTGGCTACCATGATCCCAACACTTTATGGCTAAAGCGATATATAGAGAGCTCTTTGGGGAAATTGGCGATTTTTAGTTACCTTTTAAAAGGGTCGTCAGATAGAAAGTGGTACCAGCTCCTGAAGTAAGTACAAGCTTTGCAATGGTAAGTACTAATCAGAAATCTCATTGGAAATAAAAAATATAACTTTTAAAAGTGAAATATATATATGATTTAGAGTTTTGTTTTTTAAATAATATTTTATCTATAATAAATTGTAATCCTTCCCAAACGAGATAAATCTTACGATTGGCACCAAAAAAAAAAAAAGAAAACCAAACTGTTTTCTCACTTTGTAGGTATAATACGAGAACGTCCAATAAGTACTTAGCCTACAAATGAAAAAACACAAATTTTGGAAAAAATGCAATTTATTTTTCAATATAATCTTCTTTTAGTTCGATAAACTTGACCCAGCGATGCTGCAACTTCATAAACCCGTCTGAAAAAAAGTTTTCTTGAGGTCTGCAAAGTTGGCCTCCGTGGTGGTGATTACTTCCTCATTCGAGTGAAATCTCTACCTGGCGACTGACTTTTTTAAGTTGGGAAGCAAAAAGAAGTCGCACTGGGCCAAATCTGGAGAATACGGTGGACGGGGCAGCAGTTTGTAGCCCAATTTGATCAATTTAGCCGTGGCGAGTGCGGAGGTGTGAGCCGGTGCATTGTCGTGGTGGAAGAGCACTTTTTTCTTCGCCAAATGGAGCCGTTTTTTTAAATTCTGCAACGAATCGACCCAATAATTCCACATAGTGCTTTCCTGTGACCGTTTTGCCTTTCTCCAGGTAGTCAATGTATACCACACCTTGCGAATCCCAGAAAACGATGGCCATCACTTTTCCGATCGATAGGACAGTCTTCGCTTTCTTCAGAGCAGGTTCATCCGGTAAAGTCCATTGTTCCTTGGTCTCTGGTGTGTACCAGTGGATCCAGGTTTTATCGACGGTCAAGTAACGACGCAAAACCTCCTTCGGATTGCGCTTAAAAAGCGCCAACTGCTCTGAAGTGATCACATGGTTGCGTTTGTTATCCGGAGTTTGCAAACGTGGCACCCATCTTGCCGACAGCTTTCTCATACCCAAAATTTCTTGTAGGATATCCGCCAAGTGGTATTTTGAGATGCCTACTGTCTCAGCTAACTTGCGCAATTTCAATCGGAGGTCTACCGAAACGAGATCGTGGCGTTTCGTCACGTTATCCTCCGTGGTTGCTGTTTTCGGGGCTCATAAAAAACCGACGTGCGACCACGTTGAAATTTGTTGAAGCAATTTTCGACGGTCGCCATCGAAGGAGAAGCATCTCCATACACTGCATCCAAGCGCTCTTTGATTTCACTGCGCGATTTCCTTTCCAAATACAAGAATAGAATCACCGACCGATATTGCTCATTTTCCATTTTTTTTTTTAATCAACGGACATGCTTGCTTTCACACGCTCTCATAACAGAACTACAAGTTCGATCCGGCTGAAATTTCGTCAGTAGTCATCTACAG